AGGAGAGGAGAGGAGAGGAGAGGAGAGGAGAGGAGAAGGGAGGGAGAGGGGGGAGGAGGGGTTATCCTGCCTCAGCCTCTCTGGCCGCCAGTGCCCTGCGCTCTCACTCAAGCCTTCACGCGGATCCGGACGGGAGATTAAAGTCCCCCACCACCAAACAAGAACCTGGTCCTGACCCTCCTTCTGGCAGCTCCTCGGGGTTCAGACTCTCTGCTGACAAAAGACTTTGAGCTGTTCTGATTTGACTCTTATTTAAAAAAAAAAAAAAAAGAAAAGAGGAGTTTCCCAAAGTCCGCCGCTCGCGCTGCGCTCCGGAGACATGGTGACTTTACGCACCGGATCTGCAGCGCGTCTCTACTGAGTCCTGACAAAAAGCAAACTTCAGGAGGAGTTTCTTTTCTTGCAGGAAAGAAAGCAGCGCATGTTGGAAGAAGTGAATCCAGGTGAGACACTTTCTGTTTTGTTTTTGTCTTTTTGTTGTGGGGGGTGGTGTGGGGGGACTGGTCTGAGCCGGTGCGTCTCTGCGCTGCTTCTGTTTTTTGTTTTGTTTTGTAAAAGAGTCGCGCGGCTCTTATCTCTGCGCTGCAACAAGCAGCGCTGACAGCTGCAGACCCACGCAGGCTGCATCACGGCTGTCAGCCGGCACTTGTTGTTCACACACTGATTAACCTCCGGCTCGACCCCGAGTGACCTGAAAACACCAAGTCAAGGGAAAAGTTGCTCTGTCGCAAAGTTTCAGCCAAAACAAACAAACAGAAGAAAGTTCCACAAAACTTCAAGAAAACTTCCTCAAAACAAAACTAGGTGGATTTCTTAGATGCAGCAACAGGAGGAAAAGTGAAACTTTCATTGGAAATGCTTTTCTGCGCATTTTTTTATAATAATTTGATAATTAGGCTGTAAACAAACACTAATATAAACAGAAATGGATTTTCAAACATAGCACTTAGTTTTCTACATATATAATTTGTATTACAGATTAGTAATTTATAATTAAGAGGCAAAATAAATCAAGTTTCTCTCAGCGCCAGGATAAAGCTTGTAAAAAAAGACATTTACACATCAAAAAACAAGCATTTAAACATTAGATTCATTTAAATGTTTTGTTTATTAAAGCACCGTTTTAAAGGTTTCAAACCGAAACGCTCCTGAGGTCCTCCACATCCCAGCTGTGGCCCTCTGTCGGACACAGGACCCCCGGTGGTCCCGGTGCGCGTCCCTGGCTCCTTCAGCCTGATCCACAGGCGCGCGCTCTGAAATATACAGGAGAGATGAAAAATAACTGCAGGGATTAGAAAAAATCAAAAGAATAAAAGAAGAGAAAAAAGTTATTTTAGAGTCCGACATGTTGGAGTTTGACTCTGGATGAAGGCGCGGGGATTAAAAAAAATCATAATAGAGAGAGAGAGAGAGAGAGAGAGAGAGAGAGAGAGAGAGAGAGAGAGAG